TTAACAGCCTTGGAGACAACTCGCCTGAGCGCAGCCACGCACTTGTGCGCGCGTCTGGCTCTGACATCATCGGCTATGAAGTTACAGATATGGCAATGCCACTCTTGCAGACAGTTTAGTCTCCTTGAGACGGACAGACTACAACCACCGCCATCATGTCGCTCAGCTGGTCGGCGAAAGACCACAAAAACCTGACTCAACCCGCCGCGGCCGGACAGAAGCGATCGCGCAACGACGCGGGGAACAAAGTGACGGTGGTGCTCGGTGCGCAGTGGGGAGACGAGGGCAAAGGGAAAGTCGTCGATTTGCTGGCGACTGAAGCTGACGTTGTGTGCAGATGTCAGGTAAATGTTTGGATTCGTGATTTCAGATGAGCATTCACAGGGGCGTGTCCGTGTGTTATAGCCCAATGCCGTTTCTTACTATGAATTCAGAACAACGGAATCTGTCACTTGTGGCCTGGTAGAGCGCAACAGGTGCTCAGGGTGGAAACACTTCTTTGTGATTTGGGGAATACCTAACAGAATATAGTATTTATTGCTTGAGAGGCATTTTTGAGTATCACAATAAACCATATTAAGTATGTGCTTTAGTTTCCTGTAGTCGATTAATGATGGATAAGATGAATTGTGGCTATAAACTAAACTAAACTAAACAGATCTAGAATGCCAAATGTAATTATTAATCAATTTAGCATTAGCAAGTACAACTTAAAAGCCTACTGTTTCTGTTCATTTCTTGCACTCTCCTCTAAACCTAGTGTAAAGTTGCTGTGTTACTGACTCAGTACTGACTCAGTAACACAGCACACAGCACAGTTACTGACTCATAAAAATGGGTCATATAAAAAGTAGATTGGATTTGAGATACCTAACATTCATAATTAAAAAAAAACTCCAGACAGGTCAGATTCTGTCTGCTTACATAAGACACATAACCCTCTGGTCAGAAATCAGAGGTCACTCCAGCACGGTGAAACCTGCCAGCAGTTGCTGTGTTGTACTTGTTGGACCTTCTCCACTGACAGGACTAGCACCCTGTGTCCTGGAGGCTTAAGAGCCCCACCCACCAGGCTGAAGCGAGGTCACATTCTCAGGGTGGCTTGATATGTGAGAAGGCCAGATCTTAGCCAGGGGGAACATAGAGTGGTGGATCCACCAGCACCAGCCAAGTCTGTTAAAATAGGTGCTGGAAAAGTGTTGTGAATTGGGAAGAGGTTGGCTTATCGCTGTCTCATGAAAATAAGACCAGACGTGTGTGTGTGTGTGTGTGTGTGTGTGTGTGTGGTTGATTCTTCTGTGGTGGTCTTGGGTGTTAACATGACGCTGTATTTGATTAAATATCATCAAAACAATATAACAGTATAAACTATTGTTATAATATGTACTCTGGTTTGATTTATAGGGGGGCAACAATGCAGGACACACAGTGGTAGTGGATGGCAAGGAGTATGACTTCCACCTTCTCCCCAGTGGAATCATCAACACAAAAAGCACATCACTCATTGGTAATATCTTTGATTCCCATCATACAAAAACATCAGCAGCATTGAGAATATTAGAGCAGTAGAGTCTACATATTCCTCTTCCTCTGCTCTTGCAGGCAATGGAGTGGTCATACATCTACCTGGCTTGTTTGAGGAAGGCGATAAAAATGACAAGAAAGGTATTTGAAGAAATAAATACTCTTGACTCATAAAGCACAAGTGTAAATTCAGATATACTCACATAGGTGTGATTACTATTCTCTGACCAGGGCTGAAGGGCTGGGAGAAGAGACTAATTGTGTCAGACAGGGCTCACCTTGGTATGTACAGTTTATGTACTTGTATACATACATACATAAACATGTATACTTATAGAAGTGCTGCCTGCATAAATCATTACGGTTTTAAGTGTGTGCGGGCTGCCGTTCATTGATCTGTTTGCTGTCTCTCTGCAGTGTTTGATTTCCACCAGGTTGTCGATGGCTTACAGGAAACTGAAAGACAAGCACAAGAAGGAAAGAAGTAAGGGTTGGGAGGGCAGCAGAAAGTTCAGTGTGAACATTTTGCCAAAGATTAAAAAGCCACAGCACATTGCAGTACACACAAATCTACGCTCATTCCACGCAGCATTTTACATCCCTTCATTTGTTCCATAATAACAGCATTGGAACAACCAAGAAGGGCATCGGACCTGCATACTCCAGCAAAGCGTCTCGCACTGGCCTACGTGTGTGTGACCTTCTGGGTGACTATAAGGACTTCTCCACAAGGTAGGGAGCACGGGAATATGGGACGTGGTTATTTTCCAAGATTAACACTATAATGTTACATGAGTCTCGATTTCCTTTCCTTTCAGATTCAAGAACCTCGTCCACCAGTATCAATCCATGTATCCATCCTTGACAGTTGACGTTGAGGACCAACTGAAAAAACTCAAGGTAGACACGGATGATTAGTAAGTGACAAGTGATTGTCATTGAATCCAACAAAAAAAACTTTTTCCTATGTCCTTTGTGCAGGAATACGCTGAGAGATTGCGGCCGATGGTCAGAGATGGGGTCTATTACATGTATGAAGCTCTTCATGGACCTCCAAAGAAAATTCTGGTTGAAGGGGCCAATGCTGCTCTCCTTGACATTGACTTTGGTAGCGTCATCAGTGATAAAACAAAATGATTATGTGATTTTTGTTGATCTGGGGAGCAGTTGGTGCAATATTAACACAAAATTATTCTCTTCAGGCACATATCCTTTTGTGACATCATCAAACTGCACTGTGGGCGGTGCATGCACTGGTCTCGGCATCCCGCCTCTGAATATTGGTGATGTGTTTGGGGTATCAAAGGCCTACACCACCAGAGTGGGAATTGGAGCTTTCCCCACAGAGCAACTCAATGTAAGAGTTTGATATTACTTAAGGGAATTACCATAGTGGGGACATGTAAATCAGATTTTGTCACGTCTTCTTTTCTTTCCCTGCCTTCGCACTGTATGTGGAGACACACAATATATTATGTAACTCATTGATATTGAGCTCGACTTGTACAGTTTGTATGTGATCATGTGGCTGACACACTGGCAGCGGGGGCCGTCGGAGCGGAGGGGAGGGATGGGGTTGCCCTCTGGCTGAGTGCAGCTGTCAAATTTTGTGAGAGACGGGCTCAAACACTCTCAAACCTCTTATGCAGATCACATGTTCACAGGGATAAATTTAGGGCCAGAGTCTGGGTTCGGGATATATATTTACTGTGTGTGCTGGGGTTATGTTACTTGTCACGGGAACTGACCGTAAGGACATAGGTCAAGATGTTAAAACCGTATCCCAAGGCCCATGTGATATTTTATTGTGCTCAGATGCATATATAACTCGTGTAGTGATTGCATATTTGTAGGGTTTTGTGGGATTATTAAAACCCTAACATCATTAAAGTTCATGAATAATGAAGTAACAGGCTTTTTTTCCTGTTTACTGCAGGCAGTAGGAGAGCTGCTGCAGACGAGGGGTCATGAGGTGGGTGTAACCACAGGAAGGAAGCGACGTTGCGGCTGGTTGGATCTTGTCATTGTCAGATACGCTCATATGATTAATGGATTCACCGCGTGAGTGTCTAGAGCAGTTTAAACAAATCATCAGGTGTTTTGTGGTTGATGTGTTTAAATATTGAAGAACAATTACCCCACGAGCATACATTTTTTCCTGCACCATCATAAATTACATAATGATAAACCGATGTTGCGTTCCCTTTCCAACAGCATTGCTTTGACAAAACTTGACATTCTGGATGTGCTGGATGAAATTAAAGTTGGAATTGCCTACAAACTCAATGGAAAGAGAATTCCCCATTTCCCAGGTGATTTAACAGAAGAAACCATATGTGGAATCTGCTTTGTTTGATGCCATTGATTTAAAGTTTGGTAGTAATTGTAATTTCTTTCAATCATAGCCAACATGGATGTTTTGCACAAAGTGGAGGTTGAGTATGAGACCTTCCCTGGTTGGAAGACGGACACGTCTGCAGCCAGGAAGTGGAATGACCTCCCAGCCAAGGCACAAAACTACATCCGCTTCATTGAGAACCACATCGGCGTTCCCAGTATGTTTGACACAAAATATCTTAATTTTACTTTGCAGAGCACACTGAATATACAATAATGCAGACAGCTCTTGTCAACACTAATTACCCTGAAGGCCTCTAAATCAAGATTATAGTAATGCATGATATCCATTGGGTGGCACTGTTTTACTTATCAGAAATAGCTTTTTCTTGTGTGGACAGTTCTGACTTTTCTAATCTTTCTCTCTATTTCTGTTTTCCTATTTAGTCAAGTGGGTTGGTGTTGGAAAGTCCAGAGAGTGCATGATCCAGATGTTCTAAAGGAAAAACTCCTTTGATAGAAGCGCAAGACAATGTGGCATCTTTTCATCATTTAAAATGATCTTCTCCTCATTAGCTAATAAACAAAACATCCATGTAACGTTTGAGCAGTGTTGGCTCTTTTATTTTTCAGTGAAATTGTCTTTCATTATTACAATTGTTAGATTTAATTATAAGATATGTGTCATAGTATGGCTGTATCACCAATTAAACCAGAACAAATGTTTTCAAATAAAAGCTAACAGATCCATGGTGGATCATTTCTGGAGACCAGCTTGACTGTCTGCAAAGTAATCATGATCAGCTGATGAGTCCTGTGCTTAGGGACTGTGTGTATCGTTACTTTAAGTCATTAGACTTAAGGTAACGATTATTTCACACTTTTTAAATGTTAAAATGTTCTTCTTCTTGTCCCTGGTTGTAATCATGCTGTGTGCACATTTACTCAAGTCTCCCACCAATCTGCGACTGTTCTTTTCTGAAAGAAATTACAAAATTCGCGACAGCCCCTGAAGGCACCACAGTTGATGGCGGTGGACGAGGTTTATAAAATTCACGTGACAGCAGAGCAGCTGTCGGATTGGCTGTTAGCTTTCACGTGACAATAAAGGAGGCGTGTGATTGGCTCTCTGCTGCCTCCCTTACATTTTTCCCGCAACAAACAAGTGTGGAAGTCCGGAGGCGCACAGAGGGACTTTTTTTTTTTACACAGCCAAAATGCCAAAACGAGCTTGTCCTTTCCCTGAAACCTTCTCCTCTCAATACAAAATACACATCGGACAACAGGAGCTGAACAATTACGGCGTGTTTGGGAACAAATACAGGCAAGAAATCTATGGTAAGCTCATGTTAGCGGATATATAGCTGCGTTGCAGTGTTAGCTGATGTTAATGTTAGCGTCGTCGTTGCGCACATTTGGTAGTTGTCTTTTCTTGCGTAGCAGTTGTTGGAAACAACCAAGTCTCCATTAAACGTCCATGAAACAGTCTAATTGGCTTCTTTTCTTAATGTTGCTAAAGCGACATGTCGTGTAAACCTCATGTTGTCTCATTAGTTAGGCCTCGACATTAAAGTATGAAGTGTAGCTGCTGTTGAGAAAGATATGGTCTGTTTGCTATTACTCATGAAACAAGACACGCACTTATCTAAATGGTATGTGTTCTAGTTGTTAATGTAATGGACCATACCATTACTACCTACTGGCTTCTGAACTACTACAGTGCCCGGTGTAAGCAGGCTGACGGCAATGAGCCCGCTGTTTACTCTGGGACGCTCAGCTGAGGTTTGTCACATGCACTATCATCTATGAGTGGGTCTTTTTTATTTTCAACAGCAAAGACAAAGAATTTGCTCTTTAACGGCGCCAAGGCAGTGATGGGCAAAATATGGACTGGAGAGGAGATGTGCACCGACCCACAGCCCGCTGGACAAGCTGAGACACCTACATGCAGCCAGGCACTACTGAGAGGACAGACACTAATTGGACATGATGGGAGACTGACAAGAGCCAATGGTGCACAAGGTGAGTCTGATCTGATGGCTGCAGTCCGGATACATCTTCAGTAAAACAATGTTGACACACTCTGAAATTGAAATTGAAACTGAAAGACAAAGAGATGAGAACTAAATTCTGTAGCGTCAAACAACACAAACTTTATCATACATCTAAAATACCAGTTACCAAACGAGTGACCTCTTCAACCAACAACCAAAGACTGCAGCCAGCCCACCATCCCCTCCCCTAAGAGTATGGAGGCTTACCCTAACCCCAGAACACATTTACATATATAGACAGAAACTACAACAACAGGACTGACACCAACAGAGTGAACAGTCCAAATATGTGAGAACAGTGACATCTACTGATGAAAGCAGAGTAGTGAAGTAGCTGATCCAGGTCATATGAGCTGACCCAACTAGGTGGATCCTTTGGAGTACCTGAAGCACTCGCTAAATCAGTTTTAACCCTAATAAGCCTTCACAAAGTCCAAAACTAAGGGTGGATTAAATTTATTTATTTAAGGTCGAACCTTGGGAAAATACTCAAAAACAAAACCGTTTTCATGTACATGTGAGGACTGCTTTAGGACAGATTTGAAAAAAAGATTAACTTATCCTCTGATGACCACCCAAACACAATGTATGCTGTATTTATATGGTCACATGACATTAACTGATTTATACTCAGTATCTGTTTTCCAGATCTTTGTTTCTGAGGGCTGCAAAGCACATATGTATTAAGATAAGATAATTCCTTTATTTATCCCCCTTAGGAGAAGTTGAGGTTGACACAGCAGCAATAGGGCAAAGTAGTGCAAAAACAGAACAAAGAATATCACAATAAAAATATTACTAATATTATTAATATTAGAAGATATAAAACTATAAATTAAAGTATATACTCTATGCATTGTTCAAGTAGGACATGGTGTGCAAAATATAAGCAGAAAATTAAACTTGGCTAAAACTACTTAACTACCAAAGTGGAAATCAAATATAAATAGTGCAAAGGGTCTGTGCGTTCTAGGTAGGAGTTTTAAACCAGTCTTTGTCTGCGGAGGTTGGAGGTACTGGGTTTTTAAGATAATAATATTATTATTATTATTATTATTATTATTATTATTATCTTAAAATATCAAATTACTTCTCAGTTGCAGTTAGAGGACAAGCAGTAGAACAAAATAGATGTATCGTAAATGGTTCAGTTCATGCTTTTCACCAGCAGATGTCAGGTTTGATTGCTTTTTAACTCAAGTGCTCATCCAGTGTGCTGTGTGGATGTGTGCTTTGTGTGTAGGTGAGGCAGTGGCTCTTACAGGCTGCTGTGTGTGTCAGAAGAGCCAGGGGTCCAGGACACCATGCTCCCAATGTGACCGTCTAGCCTGTTCCTCCTGTACCCGACAGTGCTCCAGCTGCTCCAGTGTCTGCTGCTCTGTCTGCACCATCATAGAGTAAGTCAGAATTAAAGATTTTTCCATTTCACCGTTTCCCCAAACGGTTTCAACGTACTAATGCACAAATGTATTTACAAGATATCAATATCAGCCATTGTTTGGAGTATTATTTGTGTGGCTTATTGTGTCGCATTTTTTTTTCCTTCTCATTATTACTCATTAAAGTACATTGCCAGGCAGGAAAACATTGGCCTGAACATTAAACGTACATATTGTAATCCACACAATAGAGAGGTATCCTCCTCTCCAAAACAAACGGACCCGTTGATTTTAAAACGCAGCATAAAGCCGTTTCACCGTTTTTAAAAGAGCAGTGTTTCTCCGACGCTGTTCAGCTGACTAAGGTCGTCCTGGAAGGGCTGCAAGCCAAGCTCCTGCTAACATTAGCTCAGCTTGTTTCCCTGTTAACTTCAGATCCAGACATCCAATGATTAAAATCCTTCATCGGGTTAAAATGTATAGGTAAAAAGCACAAAGATCTAAAAAGGTGTATCAGAAAAAATGTGGCTTAAAACTGGTTAAAAAGACAATTTATGACTGTTTCTGGCAGACAACTAGAACACTGATGCAAGTGCAAAGGGGATATGACAGCATTGACAGGCAACCAGTGAAACACACATTTACTTGAATAAGATTTGATTTCTCTGCATTATTAGAAACATTTGGAATAATTTAAGTACACAACGCAACAAAATATATAACATAATATGTAACACTTCTATGTTAAAATGTCTATAAATACTAGTCCTATATCTTTTTTTATAATATTCATGTGTATAATATACATGTACATTTGGTGTATCCCTAGTTGGAATCCAGCTGCAGTTGGGTTTTTTGTAGTCGTCCGAGCTTCAAAGTATCATTAGATCCCCTTTAAACTGAGAGGCCGTGCATGCTAAGGTTAATTAGGTGTCACATGGAAAATCACTTGCTGTGGTATTAAAGACATGTTTATATGCGATATGGGGGGTAAGCTGTTTCTCATCTGTTCTCTGAAAGGCAGTGCTCTTCTGCTTGTTTCTATGGGTACAGGCTGAACTGCAGACTGCAGTATTGTAGGGTTGTCTACATCAATGTCACTGGACCAAAAAAGTCCAGTAGATTTATTGTATTTTACATCAAGAAAATTAGATACTTAAGGAACTCACAGGCAGGCCAAAACCATGACCCATGTCTGAATCTTGTTGGGTTCTAATTAGTTTTAGCTGCAGTGCCAGTAAGTTGAGAATGGCTCTAAAAGTGAATTTGCTGGATGGACCTCAAAAAGCAATGGAAGCAGAACCAAAATAGCTGCTTATTCAAATCAGGTTTTACAGCCACCTCAAGCCAACGGGGTACGTACTTGATGCTTAATAAACCTAAACTCAGAACTTCTGGTAGATAAACATGCAGTTTGTTAAAGAATAGTTTCTATATAGTAGCTCATGTCAGACTGCACAGGATATCTTCCCATTATGATGACTTAAAATGTAAATATAAAGGTGTTTTTCAGCCTTGTTCACATTCCACTGAATGCAGTTTTGCACTGATGCAACATGTTTGTGTTCAGATTACTTGGCTCGCTTTGCACCTCTTTTATATTATGCAGTTATAGCTTGGGACAAGAGAAGAGCAGGGCTGCCATTGCTCATTGGGTTTGCGATTCAATGTCCAAAAATCCCATGTCATGCCTTGAAACTAAAACTGCTCACAATGAGTGCGGATGTTTATGAAAAACTAAATTATAACGTAATATTTTTGTTCCACAGTTACAGTGGGCGATACGATGAAGTACTGTGCTGCAGTTGCTCGACGTAAAGGAAGACCAAAGAAGGGATCAGGAACTATATGTGGTTGCTTCACATGAGATATTACTGAGACTGAATTTTACACCTGTGGTTTTTTTAAATCTGATTTGAATGTTTTCTTGTGTGTGTGTGTATATATTGAATTCCTAACTGAAATAAACTTGAACAATTTTGTATACAGTTTAATTTTGTGGTCTCTTTGGTGCACCTGTCATTAAAACAACCAGTGTTTTTATTTTGGTATAAATAAATAAAGTGGCACAGTAAGATAACTATCAAATAATACAGGAATGAAAATGAGACGTCTGAACAAAAATCTGCCAATTAGCTAAAAGGTGACCCAGCTATCATCATGTGTTGTAGATACATCAGCAGATGGCAGCACACTTCAGGGTCTCAGTTGAGGGATGAGTTCTTTTCAGACTGGGCCATATTAAGGGTAAGACAAAACCCTGCTTCCACACTGGATGAACACATTTATCTCACTGTGCTAAAGAAGCACATTTTTAACCTTTTAGCTGAAGTTTCTGGCTTGGCAGTGACGGTGAAATTCCAATCCAGTCCGTCTGGACTGACCTTGAGAATCTGCTATCAAATGTATTTATTAAAACAAGAAGACCCAGAGGTTGGGCAGAGCCACAGCTTTGCAGCAGACAATTTGGCTACGATTATCCCTGCTGGACATGACCTTGAGGTGCAGTCATCACTTTCTCTTGGCTGCGGCTGGTCACTGATGATGACTGGTTTCAGGGTCAGGTATTGTACACTGCGAGTAATTGTTCTTGGTGGCAGAAGTCCTCAGAGCTGCTTTATGGAAATCAATCACATGACATGGTCTTATAGATATTCGCTTGGATGAGTGCACTTCCTGGAGCTTATTGCGAATGTGCCTGTGAGCTTGTTGAGTCACATCCCCTGCTCAGCGGGCCAGTTGTGACTCCGGTCTTTGGGGAGCTCTGCAGTTGGTGTCCGAGAGCACCGCTTGATTTCTGGCTGAGTGAGCAGACAGCTGCTGGCAAGCAAGGCGTCAAGTTGTCTGCACATTTCTTGATAAGGCTTTAAGGAACTCAGAGGTGGACATAAAACATTTGACAGGAAGACATTCACTTTTTGAGTTGCAAATCTTGTTCTTCTTTTTTTTGCTTTTTATTGAAGATAAAGTCACTGACTCATGAAATTCAAGAGAGCTGTCCATAACTGAAGCGGGCGGATGTGTCAGTTGATAGAAAATGTGCAACTTTTTTGGTAATAGATTAATTGATAGATTTATTAAAATGATAAATATTTGCTATTTCCTGCTTCTCAAGTGGAAGAATTCACTGATCTTTCTTTGACATCCATGTTGAGTTTGGACTGTTGGTCAAACAAAACATCTGAAGACGACGCCAATGGCTCTTTGAACTTTATTATTTTGTGTTTCTGCATCATTTTTGATTTCTGTATGCCTAATTGTGGGAAAAAAAACAATAAATTAACCAATAATGAAAATAATTGTTAGAAATTAAGCGACTTTCAAATAATAATTACATTTTCTAAGGTGTATTTATTTCCCTAACCCTTATTTTTAATTTTACTCTTAAAAATATTTAAAATCAGCAAGTAACCCACAACATTTCCAACAAAGTGTATCATACTTATTGCTAAGGCATTCAAATTTGCACTCTGCTGAATGAACCTAGTACGTCTGTTAAACATTTCATACAGGGACACAGGGACACAGGTACAAAAGAGAAACTTGATCCTAGTCACCTCTAGCTTCTCCACCAATGTCAGAGGGAGCAGCGCCCCCCCCCTTCCTTTATGACCTGGGAGATGAGTTTTTCTTGATCAGCAACAGAAACACTGTTAAGAATAATGAGTCACAGTGACCTACTACTACCTGAAGCCCTGTTTCGACCATCAAAAAGTCTTCCATTGTCCAGTTTCAGCATCATTGCATCAGTACCCCTGTATCTAGAAGAAAGGGAGTAGAATATAGTGTTGTTCACAAAGAGCACAATCTCAGGAATCACCCACAATTCCCTCAATTTAATATCAGCTATAACCTCAATACTTCAAGCAAATAGTATTACTGATCTATAGATGTCCCCTGTTGTGTCTGGCTCCTACATCTGTGTAAAGAAAACCACTACAGAAGTGGTCTCTCATCCAAAACATTTACCGTATTCATTGTTGACTCCCTTCCTCCTCCCATAACCCTATAATGATGTGATGTGTGTTTATGTACCTTCAAAAGAAGGGAGTGCAGCTGTCAAGGTTTTCAGCACATCCCTATCCGTGACACCCAAAGGAGAAAGAAAAAAAAAAAGGTCCTCGTCTCCTCCCTGGTACATGTATGGCTGGGTGTCTGCAAAGGAGAAGGGGGCCACATAATCACCCACAGCGCTCCAGACAGGACCAACTGCAGTCGGCCAGCGGGAGCACGTGGCTTTGTCTTTCACCCATTCTTTCGGGGACCAGCTGTGGTCTGAGTGTGGCGAGCGTCGAGCCCACTGATGCTGCTGCTATAAATATGCGTCAACGAGTGTGAGTAAGTGACAGCTGTACAGTGGACCAAGGACACACTGTCTTGGCACTGTCAGGGCGAGCCACTCCAAAAAAGGCAAACCCAGTGTGAGAGCACTAGTTGATATGTATTTATTCACTTGTAGCAATTGATATGTGATATATACAGTTCAGGTTGAAGCTTTAGATCACCATTAAGAACTTAAATGCTGCTTTAAACGTGGGTGTAGCCTTACAAATGGACAATAATAATTTACACCACACTATTTTATTAATAATTGGCTTCTTTTTTTTAATTCTTGGGTGCAATGTTATTTGGATTCTCTGAAAGTCAAAAGAATGGCTCCTCCAAAATTAAGTGGATGATAACCTTAAGCATGTGGAGAGAGAGAAAAAGAAATCTACCCGTGCACGTGTGTGTGCGTGTGTGTGTGTGAGAGAGAGAGTGAGAGAGCATTGTCTGTACACAAGCGCATGTGTGACTGTGTTTGTGTGCCCTTTTCAAGTGTGACCACCTGTCTTTTGTAAAGAAATAAATAAATAAACACAGGCCACACCAGCTGTCCCTGGCAGTCCGTCCCTTCAGAGGTCAAGGGCTCCCACCGCTGGCCTTGTTGAGGTGGTGGACACTTACAACTTTCCTCTCAACTTCTCTCAAGTACCTCTAAACACACGCACACACACAAAACCACTCACGGCCAAATGAGCCGGGCTTTGAGCCTCGGAGAGGAATGTTTTATTACACCATCGAGTTACATTGCACATATCCCAGCTCGTCACCCTGCAGCTAAGCCCTATCACATGGCCTCTACTTTCCATGTGAAGGTTTTGGTCCATAGGAATCGCGCACACACATATACACACACCAGGCAGTCTAAAGCCCTGTATCCCGTTAGGCAGATGTGAGATGTTGGTGCCAGCGAGCGCTCTGAGGCCTGCTGCTGTGGATGTTTACAGTGTGAGGTGGCCGCAGCATTGCAGAGGGCCCTTATTTACTGTGAGCTGGCTGTGGCTGTTCAGGGTGTTTATGAATGATCTTGGGAGGACATTGTTTTCTTTATGTCAGAGCTGCCTGGCTAGGCACAGCGCCGCTGTGTCGTCTGTTTGTGCATAAAGTACGTGCTGGGGAGCCGGGCCAGACAATAGCCTGGCTGAGCTACTACCCACGCACACAATAGAGTGGTGGGATGAGGCCGAGGTTTGGGGCCGTGGTTTTGGGGGCTATGGGGGTGGAGGTTAGGATAGATGGGGGGCAGGGGCAGTTGGATGCAGCCCTTGTCTATATGGAGTTCCCAGAATGGGTGAGCTGGGATTGGGGGGAGGGTGGTGGGAACCCGAGCACATCCCCATTGGGATCACGTAGCAGAGCAGCTGGATTTCTTTCATGGTGCAGCGGGGAAATAATTAAAAGTTCTCGCCATTGAAATTGTCCAGTGAATTGGCATGAGGCTCCTCAAGTAGGCAGATATCTGGTATGTGTTTGTTTACTTACAAATAGATGTGTATGTGTGTGTGTGTGTGCTGTAGCAGATATAATCAAGTTGAGTTTAGTAATAATTACACAACTAAGTCAACTAGCTTTGTTATCCTAGGTTTATCTCCTTTGGTTAGTATTGGCAACAGGTCAGGAACAATGGGAGCCCATCTTGAAACTGCTCCGTCCTTGAGCTCAGTTTATGGTTTCAGAGGGATCGGGCCTGTAAGACCAGCAGTATTATCACATTCTGTTGTCTCTGTACACATTGCAGTGCTTCCCACACACACCGTCTGGCTGACTGTTACTGCTGTGTGTCAGAAGAGGACTCTTCTATAATGTTCTTTTGTTGCTCTAGTGCATCAGAGTCTACTTTTACCTTTCTTATTAAATTCAAACCTGCTAGCTAAAAGTGTTTTGTCTGAAATTGAAGTATCGACTGGTGTGACAACTAGTGTGACAGTGCAAATGAATGAAAATCCACACAAAGAGAGAAAGTTGTTCCATTTAATTCTATGCATAATCTTAAGAAAGACCTAAATCAAGATTGTCACATTTCCACAGCACACACACACACCAGCACACTCCAAAAGCGCAAACAGAGAAAATGCACATACAGTTATAGATCAAAGTAAATTGCCTCAATATCTAAGCAATGTCAATTCTGCATAAAGATTGTCCTCTAATCTCTACACCACTAACACTGAAGCAATTGATTACTATAAAATATACCTTTCTTATTAAAAAATTATATTAAATTCTAATGGCACTTCTACAAATTCTATTAAAAAGATTTTTCGTTCGACATTTAGAAGCTTTTTTTTTTTTTTTTTTTTTACCAAATTAAAACTGAGACAGTCAAATGTTGCACAAGAAGCAAAATGCAATAATAAATATTTCTCATGATTATACACAATTTCACAGTTGTAACCTGCAGAGGACAAAATTCCAGTATCAGTAAAGTCATATTTTAGACTTGAAAGATCATACAGCATGAGTTAGGCAAACATAGCCCTCGATCAAGAGTAGCGCTGTTTCCATAGAAGTCAACAATCAACATCTCAGTGTTTCACATTCAACAGTGACATTAACTAAGGACTGTACTGTTAGTTCCCAGTAGTATTGGCTACTAAAAGCCAAATCATAAAAATGCTTGTCTTCAGTTGAACACGTCCACAACAGATTTATTCACATAAAACAAAAATGG